AGGTGAGGTTCTGAAGCCAGTCAGTAGCTTGCTGTTCTTTTCTTCGTTTAATGGCGCACACTTCAAGGCTTGAATAACTGTAAAGCCAAATGGGATGTATTTTCCTGCAGCGATACTGCACGGCTACATACATCTGCCGCCACCGCCGCCATCTTGGTTTTCTTGAGTGATTCCATTTTTTTCCCTGTGCTTGGTCAATAAAAGTAACATTCACTGACTTCCACAACGTTTTCTCTTCATTTCTTTGAGTGTTCCTGAAAGCCAACAAGTTGCACTTTGAAATGACCTCCTTATTGTATCATGTTTTTGATCTGAGTTTGTTTTACAGAATGAAATGTCTGAGTGCTCATCCAAGACTGCTGATTCCATACTTTTTGCCAGGGGTTGTAGAAAGAGGAGGTTTTCTCCATCCAATCAAGCCTCGGCTGTTGTTTTGTCTTTGCATAATAAACTTTACCCCCTAACTTGTTAACTGAGGTCAGTGGAGTCTGAAGCTTTTTTATTTTTTAGATTTCTTTGAGCAGTGCATGGTCTGACCTTGGGGTGAATTTGCTGGAACATTTCTGAAGGAGATGGGCAGCTGCCTTAAATGACATATTTTCTGGATATTTTGTTATTTTTATAATATTTAGCTTTATTTAAAACMTTTTCCCATATGAGATCTCTTCCATTCTTGCTCTAGTTCCATCTACTTGTGGTAGTTTTAGTTTTCAGCCACCACTCTACTTCTTCAGTTTCCAGCTACAGTGCTTCTAATTTTAGTGCTTACTATATTTGCAACTTTTAATTGTAGCTAACCGTTTGTTACTTTTAGGTTTTAGCTTGCTTTTTGCTACTTCTAGCTTATTACAGATTTGAGCTACTTTAGCTAGCTATTTGCTATTTTACCTACTATAATCCTATTTCAGCAGTCCTTTAGCTTCTTTTAGCTTTTTTAGCATTTAGCCAGTGTTTTGCTTCTTTTTAATTTAATAAATAAGTTTCAGTTTTAACAAATTTCAGTAATTTTAAGCCACTACCATGTTGCTACTTTTAGTTTTTAATTAGCATTTTGTTAATTCTAGCTAATTTTTTGATACATTTTTTTCTAGCTAGCTTTAGGCTGTTTTTGGCTTTTAGTTATCCTTTTTCTGCTCTTAGTAATCCACCTTTTTTATATCTTTATTTAAATCTTTGTTTATGTCTTATGTTGTTGTGCTTCTATCACTGTATACTGTATGTATGTGTATTGGAGAGACATCAATAGCCGGAAACAAATTCCTTGTGTGTGTCAACATACTTGGTCAATAAAGCTGATTCTGACTATAGATTTTAGCAAATTTCAGCCAAGTCATTCAGCATTCAGTGTTGACACAGCATTTTTTTAGAAAACATTTTTTCTCCTTTTATCAACACATTCTTCAAATTCTGACTGCTGATGTGTTCCTGAAAAGAAATCCCTCACTGCCCTGAGACGTCATCTGAAATGTCTCTGGTTTGAGTAGATTACCAGATTAAGAGTTGAAAGAACTGAGAGCAGCAGGGGTGAGCTGATCTAAGGGATCCAGACTCACAGTGATGATTGCATTAGCTCATCTGTGAGAACATATTTACAGTGGGAGGAACAAGTATTTGATACACTGTTGATTTTTCAGGTTTTCCCACTTGCAAAGCTTGTAGA